ATTATATATCTGTAAAGCTTGCATTTTGGGCCTAGTACATTTTAACAGCATTTGTCTAAGGAAAATAGATTTTTGAGTAGGTGTTTTACGGCACTATCGACTCAATTTTGGTCATGTAAATGCGCCAAAGAAAATAGGAAGACATTAGACTGTACGTATTTTCCTGATCAGCCACGATGTGCTAGTGTGGCCTGTGTTGGTAAAACTAAATTAAAATGCTCCAAAAATGAATCGACTGGGTTTTTTTTTTCGTTTTTAAAAAAATATTTTTTAGGGGGGTATAAAAAAACCTACATTTGAAAAGTCCGAGATTTATTCGTGGAATGTACATCGTTTTCCGAGTTTAAAGCAATATTTCTGTGATAATTTTTTAAACGCTATTTCGAATAATGAATTAGCTTTCCTCCTCTTCAATTATGGGCCTAAACATAAAAGTCTTGTGGAATATTTTCGCAGATTTTGCGATCCACAGAAAAATAAAGGCGAAGAGGGCACATTTCGATTAAGTTATGGAACAATCGTGAAATTGCAATTCCAAAAAACAACAACAAACAACAAAAAAACCGCTCTAAAAAAGGCGTCCATTTCTGAAATGAAATGAAGATCGTCATCGGCCCTTTGCTCCACATGTATAATGTGATAATGGCGCGGAAGACACATTCCAGGTTAAACACATATCTTGTATACAATATTATATTTGATCCAGTTGGGTTTGGTCCGATATATGTAGCCCAAATAGATATTCCCTTTGTTTGTCCTAAGCTTATAATATAAGTCCTCATATGGTAACCATCCCCGAGTAACTAAATAACTACATAGCCCAAAATAAGCACCTCTTTGAAAATGTCGGTACTTGCAATATTAAAAATAGGTTCTTTACAGAAAAGCTGGTTTGTGACGTCGGTGGCCTAGAGCTTAGGCTCTGAGACTCGCAACCGTAAGGTCGTGGGTTCGAATCCCATCAGGGGCCTGACGTTGTGTACTTGGGAAAGACACTTCACTCGAATTTTTCTCACTCCACACAGGTGGGAATGGGTACCCAGCTACAGATAACGAAAGGTCTTGTTAGTTTGTTAGTGTCTGAGCGCTTAATTAGCTACTTGCGCTGTATGCTTCTCCGGAAGCTTAGGTTGTTTCTGAGTGTTCTATAGTCTGCTGGGGTAATACTATAGTGTAAAGCGCGCACAGAGCTTGCTGTTGATACCAATGCTATTTATTATTGTTATTATTAAAGCTGCTAAATCAATATCCTATCACATTAGACCTTTCCGAAACAAAGACTCAAGTGACAAAAATCCATAATTGTTTTGATATTAGATTGCAACAGTCTGTTTATTTGCATGGTTATGGACACATGCTGGAAATGCTGGTAATCTAGCAACAAGACATAACATAATGTATGTACGCATAGCATTGGGAATTAAACTATTATTCGGGATATGATCTTGCTTTAAAGCTGGTAAAATGTCAAGATTTAATTATCTCTTAGAAGACAGAAGAAAGAAAGATTAGCAAATCAATCATTATATTTTGTACAAACTTTTGCCAAGAAAAGACATATTTAAAATGTGTTCAGTTTGTTTTTATCGCGTATTAAAATCAATCATTCCCAGAAACAAATTCTTTTAAACAGTTTCCTATTTTCAATAAAATGCACAAAAGATTTGATGGCAGTAATCATTTTATTACTTTTCTCCAGGAGTAAAGAAAAGACGAAACAAAGGTAGCGAGAGATAAAGAGAGGGAGAGAGAACGTTCCAACGAGTGAGCAAGCGAGCGAGCGAG